AAGGACTCTGGTCCCTGGGTTTGTGATAGCTTTGACATAAACCAAAGATGCCATAAGAGGAAGTGCTGTTCTCTCTTGCCTTTATGTGGACGCTTTTCCGTCACCACACCACACAGCTTAGCCCTACATAAAAACTTGCATTCACACGTGGATAACCTGGCCTACACGAGCAAGAGAATGCATCCTTGTTACTGCCGATATGATATGCTGCTGCAAAGAGTATATTTACTTGTGCCCTTGAATGTGTTGGGAAGAGCTAAAATAAAAAATCATTTTAAAAATAACATTACCTGTTTCACTTAATTCTTCAACTGAACCAACAAAAACTGTGTGTGAAAACACTGGAAAATTGTCATTTATATCCATGATTTTAATTGGGAGGTCTATTGGCTCTTCCAGTTTTGCTCCAGTCTTATCTAGTGCATGACCTCTGAGCTGAAATAATACAGACAGAAACAATAAGCAAATACAATGAGTGACTGTAATATATACAAAATACATATACAAAATAGAAATATATCAAATATATATAACAAAATGTAAGCATTATATAAGCATGTATAATATGCTTATAAATATAAGCACACATACATACACAAATATCCAAAAACTGGATTAAAACTAATTGAAGCAAACACACTTGACCAAAATAAATAAAAAATGAATAGAAGAGCACCTGTAAGTAGAAAGTTACCATTCAACTTACAAACAGCATCGGAGTCTTTTCTCTGTCAACCCTTCCTGTTATGTTCAGGTCTCCAGTCTTTCCATTGATAACAAATAATCCATAAGGGGGTTCTGTTACTCCTTGACCAGAAATAGTATAAGTCACCACTACCCCTGTATCTTCAAGATCAGAATGTATCTAGCAGGAATATAACAGATTAAATAGTGTTTCGTAAATAAAACCACATTTAAAAATGCAAATAAAATATTTTCGCTATTTTTGTAATGAACAAAAATAAATATTAAACACTTATTTTCCTGCACTCTTTTCAGTGTGGAGACGTTATGATGAATGCAGGAAGAGTTACATGTTCTGTCTGAGGATCTTGTGCAGGGAGATGAGGAACATGATGGGCAGCGCAACAGTTGGGAACTGTGGAGAGGTCTGTGGGAGAAGAAAATTGGGACTGCTTGGACAAAGAGTGAGATAGGATACAAGGGCAAGGAAAGGCTGGAAAACATTTCCAGTGAAAACTGTGATAAGGTGAAAAACTGAAGTGAGGGATGAAGAAGGAAACTGGCTGATCAAACGGATGGGGGCAAATAAAATGCGGAGAAAGACCAAGGAAAACAACAGTCTGGAACAGTGAGCTGAGCAGGGGAGATTGAAGTTACTTGAGCAAAGCCTGGAAATAAAATATGACAACTTTTTAAGGGAGATTAGACCTAAGCTAGCAAGCCTGACCAGGACTGAGGAAGTGATAGGGTAGAGGAAGAAAGGTCAAACCTGGAAATGAACAGGTAGAAGAGGCTGCATAGACTAGAGATTACACCCTTCCTCTGCTGTCAGCAAGTATCTGAAACATCTGGAAAAGCACGTGCGCATTGTGCCAGCATCACCATCAAGGGGCAGCCCAAGCAGAGGGTTACAGCCTGCTACTATCTGCAGTTACTTTATATGCAAAAGTGACAAGTGTGGTGAATTCAGGTTTCAGAACTGATGCTGAACCAAATGCATATCACTCTTGCACAAAGGATAACACCTTGGCTATTTTTAGCTTTATTTCCTAAAAAATTAGGCATATATAATCATGCTCCATGTACACCCCTCCGCCCAATCACCACCAGCAGTTTTGGGACCCACTTGCCAAGTGCAGCAACAGCCGAACAGGGGTGGTGGCGTGAAAAAACTCAAAGATACTGCATTCCCAAAAGTTTTATGAAAACTGGTGCCTGGGAAAAGATGAGAGACTGAGCCAAATCAGGCTGCAAGACCAACTCATCTGCTGAAGGAAGGAAACAGAAGGAAATGTGCCAATCTTCAACTGACATTCAACAATCCTTTAAAATTCAAGAAATATTTGTGCATGAGTTTAGGGCACCCACACCCTTATTTTACATTTTCATCTCTATTTTTATGTGTATTCTTATTATGTGTATTTATCACTTTTCTGGACTTACTCTAGCAATTGGATTTTTATAGGAATTGTCCTCCTCTTCCCGTATGAAAGCTGGAGGGACTGTCCATTCTCGCTTCTGTCTGACTAGGCTGTTGGGATGAGACAACACACCACTCCTGCGATTTTGATTATAAAGCTGTGAAAAAACAAGGTTGAATGTCAGCATTACATTTAGCCATTTCAGATGAATGCTTTATTGCTGCTGTAGCCCAGACTTCTGAATAGCTTTTGCTCTTTCAAAAGCTAGTAGCTTCGAAATCATGGAGCTGCATTAGCTTTCTGAGCCACAATTAACATCTTTCATAAAATGATTTAATTTACAGAGAGTTAAAAAAAAAGACATCTACAAACTTAGTATTTTAGGCGAAGTGTCTCAAAGTTGAACACCACTCTGATGATGTAGTTATCTATTCACTTACATTTTGGCTGGGCTTTCATTTCATTATTCATTACACAGCTTTCACATTTCAGAAAATGGTAAAAATCAAGATATTTATCAACCGAAGTAAGGCACACCTTTGACACTTTGCTCAGAGAACCCTGCTTCAGGCACTGATAAAGAAAAGCAGTTTTCCATTTTTCCTACCTTCCAATAGAGTCCATTTCCATAATTCAAACAGATCTGCAATGGAAGTTATGATAATCATTATTCATTCTATGTCATTTTAGCACTACTAAAACTTAACTGACATTACCTCCCTGATAAGAACAGCAAAGCCATAAGGAAAAGGGCATCTGACCTCTATCAATTAGTATTTACTATTTATCTGTAGTATCTTCTGAAAAATTTACCCATAACCATTCACATTTAAAACATACACTATAACTATGTAATTATTAAGTTTTGCACTTTTCTCCCAGCAGGAAACAGATAATAAGCAATTAATTTTTTTTTTTTTTTAATGAATGAAGACTTTATGGGGATTTTTAAACAACCATTTGTTAGGGCTGAATAATTCTTGAGCATTCCAGAACGATGGGAATTTGCCATTGATCGAAGTAAGTGTTGGTTGCCAGCAGCACCCTGGAGAAGCTCCCTCTTCTGGGCAAACCATGGATTATACAGGCTGTGGTGGGTTACCAACCACATCAAGGAACAAAAAAGCAAAGACTAATCAAAACATCTGTTGAAGCATAACCAACAGAAGCAGCTTGGTACTTAGCACCTTGCTGGGAGGATAAGTGGCATACATACATCCCTTACTTAAACAAGGCTGAGACGCATGCATGATAGCAAGCAACTCATACTTGCTCTGACAAAACCTTACATGTCAACATCCAGTATTGGGACTGCCCACCTCTTCATGCACCAGGATAGCTGTGTATACCCTTAAACACCTCAGTTAGGTGCCTCATCCTAGCTGGAAGCAACTGGAGCCTCAACCAAATTACCAGAGACCCTGTGTTTACGTCCACTCTGCACGCACCAAAGACTCCATAAGTAACAAAAACCCTCAAACAGTGCAAAAATGTAGGCATTGGGAAACAACAACAAAAAGCAGATTATTACAACATGTGAAACCAACAAATAGAGCTTTTGAGCTTTGCACAGGTAGAGAAGACTTACTGTTCTCAGTACTACTACATCTACCTACATTTTGCATCTTAGGTGGTGTTTGTTTTTTGGGTTGTTTTTTTTTTTTAATACTAATGCCTAAGGCAAAGCAGGCTCATAAAAGGTGATTTCCTACTGAAATTAGTCAGGAAGTATTTCTTTATATTCTCTTTGACTGGTTTCTGGACTTCTGAATGGACTCTCCCTACTCATCCCTCTGACTCAGCCTTGATTACTGCATTGATGACAGCTTTTTTTTTTACAAAGATGTTATCTCTTTGCCACACAGTGCAGCAATGCAGTGGATGGTGTTGAGCAATGTAGCAGACTGCTGTTTCGACTTGCACAACAAAACTGTTTTTCAAAGAGCAATTTTTGCAATGTATATATTCTGAAGGCAAAAATCAGCAAGCACTAAGTTCCCTAATGGATATGCATTGTGAGGGCTACGGGATCTTACACCTTAGACCAAGTTGTATTCACGAATATTCTTAACCTTATTTGTTTTAATTAGTTATATGGATTTTTACACTTTATTTTTATAAAAAATGAGATTGTACCAGCAAGAGTGACAGGAGGATTTGAGTTTATAGTCAACTTTTTCTGACAGAAGCTGCAACTCTTTTGGAAGGTCAATAGTTTTTAAGACGTCATTGTGAACATCCTTGTTTGTTCTTATTGGTAAACTGAAGGAAAAAGTCTTTCTGTCTCAATACTGAATGGAGACAACAGGCATAAGGTGAGAAGCTTCGTTGTATTGGAAACCTGAGAACCACAGTATAAACAAAAGCGCCTGAAGTTCAAGAATAAGCATGTCTTCCACTGAGATGCATATCAACACAGCAGAGAAAGTCCCATTAGTCATTATAAACAGAAAGTCTTTCATTAATTAACTAAAAGTAAAAATAAATTCGCTTGCAAATGCTGCAAAACAGCCTCAAAACATTCTGTTTTATTGCTAAGACAGTAAAAAATACTTTTGCTTTTGTACTTTTCAATCTGTAGTCCACTGGCAATGTCATAAGGGACTTTAAGACATCAATAAAAGGTCTTTAAGAATGGCAATTTTATTTACGAGATGTATAGATACATTTGGAACAAATATATAAAGGGATCCTGCATTTTTACTGAAAATTTTCAAAGGATCCAAAAATTTTATGAAGGGGGAAAGCACTTTTCAATGAAATTCTCTTCAAGAAAAAGTGAAAAGTCACATATCCAACAGGTGTTGAATTCTGAATTTCCCTTTCTTTAATATCCTACAGCTGACATCTGTTAAACAGCTCAATAAGAGTAGGAAACCCATTTCTGTCATTTAATGCGGATCATAGCCCTGGCATAAAAAATAGACACGTAGATGACATCTGTTGATGACACAGAGCTGAAAAGGCATTGTCAGAAGAAAACTAGATGATTACAGAAAATGAGGTGCAAAACCTGAGACCTGAGGTAATAGAAAGGGAATGAAATACTACAGGAAAGCAGCAGGAGTAGGCGACAGGGCAGGAGAAAGAAGGGAGTGACTGCTGGGTATCAGGAATGCAAGGCTGCTCTTGCACAAATCCATGTTCATGTATGGTCAGGAAGTGACTAAAGGACAGATTTTGAACACACAGCTTAGTCTTATAATGTAAAGGTGCAGACTGAGCAAGCAAGATGGCATGTGTCCGTACTTGCTACAGTCCTAGAAACGTAGTCTTTCATGTATGTTGTGTGTGGCAGAGATTTGGATCTTGCACCTCCTGGGAGTCCTGGGGTTGAAGACATGGGCAAGTGCAGATCTTCCACACTGAGAGAAGCAGGCTGACGAGACCATCCAAGGTTATCTACTAGTTAATCTCCTGGCCCTGGGGCAAGACAAACTACACTAAGTGCTTCCTGACAACTGTTTAACCTGTTCTTAAAAACGACTGATGGAGGTCCCACAGCCTAGCTAGCTAACCTAAGGCGGTGCCTAGCTAACATAACAGATGGAAAAGTCTTTGTTAACTTTTATCCTAATTTTATTATCCTAATTTTTAGCTCTTTGCAAGTTGATCATATTGGTGTTTGGATGAGATTCAGTTTCAGATTGAAGCACACAAATTTACATGTCTAAATGAACGCTAAGTGTCTAAACTTCTGTCATATTCAACAGAAATATAGCCAATACAGACAAGGATATCAGAGAGCAGTTCAATTCACCCCAAAGCCAGCCCACACCTGCTATTTCTCTCTGGACTCCACTGACTGTAGCTAGGTCTACTATGTAAGCCCAATACGAGAGGATTGGTAGAGCACAGCAGTTGCTGCTGAGAACCCAACACTACAACAACCCATGTTTTGTGGTTCTTACTTCAGACTAGAATTAGCCTGGTGCCACAGACCAAACACCCACAAGCAGATGGATGCATTTCCCAATGCAGTTTCACCCAGGAGGGATCAGATTCACACACTCTGGAGATTTGCTTTGAAAGCACAATTTGATCCAACCAAATAGGTGCACTCTGCATCCACTGCATCTCCATTTAGCATAACAGAAACTCAAACACCTATATTGAGATGTCAATCTCAAACTGAATCTCCTTCTTTGCCATGTTGATAATGCCTTCATCGAACAGTGTAATTCCCTTTTCTTCACAATTACTCTTCATATAACTGAAAACTTATCACACATCTTACCCACTTTCTTTTTTGAGTTCCCAGTTCTTTAATCTCACTTCAAGAATCATAAAACAGGTTTCCCAAATTTAGATTGCATTTTTTGCTCTCCTCTAGTCTCTCCTGGGCAGATTCACTTTATTCCCAAGTCTGGTGTCCAAAATAATACACCACTTTACTTCAATAGGATGAATAAAACGCTAGATCTTATGTATTTCTCACCTGCTTTCGTATCTCACTATGGTGCTGTTTTTTCCCCCCTTTCTGGAAAAATATTAAGTTTTTGAATCAATGCACAGATGCTTGTAAATATTTTTACCATGTTTCAACATGCTACTGGTGATAGAAGCTAGGATGCTTTGAATTATGTCACCTTTGCTCTTTCTAAAACTAAGCATCAAGTTGGTTTTTTTTTTTTTAATATTTAAATTGTTTCTGTGAATTTTGAAAAGTAATTGCTATGGGCTCTGACATTACAATAGTGTTCTAATGTATCCTGGACTGAGTTTCATCATACCCAGCCTAAGTCTAACATCCCAAACATAAACGAAGTACAATCTGAGAAGACATTCCGAGGAAAAGTAAGTTTTGCTACTAGCATAGTAAGATTCATACATCTGCCAAGTCTTCTTTCACTCAAATTTAAGAAGTGTTGTAAGACTTCTTCTGTTGAAGACGAGATGTCCACCCCCTTCAGAAATGACTGAGAAACCTCCCAGCCTAGTAATCCTGGATAGCCGTGCCCGCCCGGCAGGCCCATGGCTCTGGGTGTGTGCCCTGGACACAGGCCAAGTCAAGCCCAACCCCAAGGGTATACTACTGCCTGGCATGCCCGGACATCCCTGGAAAAGCGCCGGAGGCCTAAGGGTGTACTACTGCCTGGCATGCCCGGACATTCCTGGAAAAGCATCGGAGGCACGGACATGGGGAAAGCTGCTGTGACCTCTGCGAGGCACCCGGGGATTAAGATAGAGGGATGCAGCCTGCAGGCAGGGAGGGAGTGCAGATGACCAAGAGATACTTCCAGGAAAAACAGGGAGAGGAAGAACTTACAGTTCTCAACGCTTCTAGGGTAGAATATGCTTTGGGAAGACACTACTTTTAGACTGGTTTTGTTTTTCAGTAGTTTCTTAAGGTTCTGAAGTTATCAGTGCCATCTTTGCATGTCTTAAGTTATAAATTACCCTAATCTGATGCTCTCGAACAAGCAACTAGACTTGCTACCACATGAATGGCTTCGTCCACATGAGGGACAAAAAACAAACCAAAAAAGCGACCAAACACAACAGGCAAAACCCAGCAGTGCCTCTCTCGCTCCCGACATCAGCCAACCAAGGCAGCTTTATCTGCTCTAATGTTCTATCCAACATTGAGGCATTTAGGCACCAAACCGAGTTCACTCTTAGTAGACCGGACCCTGCCGCAGCTTTAGCTGAGACTGAAGATGATGAGGATTGAGAAAAATAATTTTCCTCGTTTCTTCAGGCAAAACCAACATCATCCTGGATTTCCATTAGCACTGGATTTCCATTAGCACTGGAACAGGTTGCCCAGAGAGGTGGTGGAGGCCCCATCCCTGGCAACATTCAAGGTCAGGTTGGACGGGGCTCTGAGCAACCCGATCTGGTTAAAGCTGTCCCTGCTCACTGCAGGGGGGTTGGGCTAGATGACCTCTAAAGGTGCCTTCCAACCCAAAGCATTCCATGATTCCATGATTCTATGATTCTATGATCCTGAACCAGCACAAGCCCACCAAAATGGACAACAGCGTGGCTTCAGGTATTACCAAGAGAATCGGTGAAAACTTTTGTGCAAGCAGCACCCCCCATGTTTCCCATTGCTCTTTTGGGCAAAAGAAGGATAAAACATTTTCCAACCAAACCGTCGCTCGCAGCTCGCTGCAAAGAACAGGGTCGGCTGGCTGACTTGTGGCCAACCACAAGTCTACGTTAAAGTCATCAGGCAACAGGTCTCCAGCTAACAAATCTGATTTTGCAGGATCCTGAGCTCAGGGAGCAAGGCCCTGATCCACAGCACCTGCCAGCGCGACCACGCAACAAGCTGCTGCTGAACACTGCCCAGCTCCTCGGCAGCTCGCCCGCGCAGCCCACGGCCTGGCCTCCACGCTCGCCTCTGTCTGAGCAGCGGCGGCGGACGAACTTCTGCAGGCATTTTGCCAGCCTGGCCAGGTGAAGAGCTAAAGGACAGTGCCGCAGAGCTGAAGGAGAGCTTTCTGTAGAACATCTAGAAACAGCTAGAAAGCATCATGCAAATAAAACAGAGAAAGAAACAAAAAAAAAAAAAAAAACCAAACCCAGGCGATTTGGTCTCAGTTTGTTATGGAACACTCCTTGCTTTTAGCCTGAAAAGGTATTTCGGAGGATGGAAGGTCTAAAGGCCGATGGCTAAAAACCAGTTGAGGGCAGGGAAGGAGTGAGCCTGAAATGGCTTGGATTGCTAAGAATTTGGTATCATTTCTCTAAGGCAATAAAAAACTCCAATTAAATCACGCTTTATGATCCGTTTTCCCTCCTGGCACTATTCCTTCAAAAAGATAATGCCATTTATTAACACAGATAGTACGCTGAACACGAAGACGAACTCTTTCACTGCGCTCCTGCTCCTCCTGGCACCCCAAAAAAAACCCCACCCCCTCGAAACACCGCTCTTATCGGGTTTTTCTACCCCCACCCCCTCGAAACACCGCTCTTATCGGGTTTTTCTACCTCCAGCTGCCTTCGGACGGCAAACGGCGATTGCGTTTACCTACTTCCCAAAGAGAGGGAGAAAGCCCCGTCCGCAGC